GGGGGGGGGGGGGGGGGGGGGGGGGGGGTTATGGGACTCCTGGCGTGGAGATGTTGGAGAAATGAAGTGTTGAAGTGAGAAGAGCTGATGTCTCCTGCGGTGACATGGCGTCCTTCCACCTGGCATCCCTGAACAAACACTGAGGAGGGATGCAAAATGGCGACGGTGGCATCAGACGGCGCTCTTTGAAATCAAAGGGTCATTTTTATAAATGGGAGCTCGGACTGTTTGTGTGATCTGCCCAGCAACACACCGTCTCTGTGTTTGGCGTCTCTACACTTTATAAAGACTCGAGAAGAAAGTTCCACACGAGGAGTGAAGATCGAAGACTTGAAGTAAAGGAACGAGTATTTACTCCCTTGTTGAAGTTGGGGTTGAAGTTGCTCGGCTTCCGGACGCTTTGTGAACATTTCTCCATCTTTAGACTAGAGTTGAATTTGCCTCCGACTGCTGATCTGAGGTCGGTCGTGTCTGTTTTCCGTTCAACAGGAAGCGGCCTTCATCCAAAAGTGTGAAAACGCTCGGGACGACGAAATCAAGCGAGCTCAACTAAAAATAATCGATCAACGAAAAACCCACTATGGTACAGACCACAGGGCTCGTGGTTTGGTCGCAATGATCCAGAGTGAATTCAGGGTACGATGAGTTAAATCACCTAATGTCAAACAGTTTTCTTGTATCAAGATCACGTCAGATTATCAGCAGGACGTGTTTCTACGCTCACAACTCAGATGAGTCTTATTCTTTGTGTGAGAGGCTTTGCTTTTCTTTACACAACATGAAATTCATCATTTTAATGGACTGACACGTGCCACTTAGCTTTTAGAATCATGGCTGCCAGATCACGTGTGAACGGCCGAACCCTTTTTACAATGTTTGATTTTATTTCTTTTTTAAAACACCCGTCACAGATATTGCTGCATTTTCTTTTTCTTTTTTTTTTTAATGTTTCCTGCACAGGAGAGGAAACGATCGATCCAAGTGTCCTCTGAAGACACGTTGTTCAAACAATGCTGAAAATAAATCCAAAGTTAAGGTGGTAAAGTGTTGAAATGTGTTAATCCAGTTATTATAGGTCCGACTCCTCCACCGTGCATCAGCTGTGTTGTAAAAAAAAATGCAGCTTCCATCAGATTTCCTGGAGTTTGACTGAATTTCCATTCTGAGGTAAAACAGTCAGAACAGCTGAATGACTCCGAAGCATTAATTTGTCTTTATCACATCTAAGTTTTAATATTCATGAAACAAATGGGAATCGATGCTCTGATGAAAAACTCTTGAGTCGGTTTCTAGAACAGATGAATAATGGTTTTACTGCAGCAGGACGGTGGCTCCGCACACGAAAAGGAAATGCATGTGTTGTGTTTCACTTTATTGCTTCATGGGATCAGTTTCTGTTTTATCTGCTCAGACGTGGGGAAAGAATCATGCATGTGCCTCTAGAATATTCTCCTTCTTCTGTCTGTTAAATGTTTCACAAGGTTGAAGTATGAAAAGATTATAATGAAAAAACCCTCAACACCATGTGATCGTTGCACCAACCGCTCTGTGAATGAGGAATCGTGGAGCGAGTTATTAGAAAGTCTGCGACAGTCTCTGGCTCCAAGTGCTGTTAGAGCGCCCGAGTGTAATTGAACACATTTATCTTGTAAACATTATTAATCGTCACCGTTAAAGCCGTCGTATATTTGCATTCTTCTTCTCCTCCTGAGCCCAGACGACGAGCTCTCTGTTGTGCTTGAGTTCATGTCCCAGATTTAATCTGTGGGTTGAGAGTTAGACGACGAACCACATGCCTTCTTCTCTTCAACAGATTCGTTGGTTTCAGGTGAAAACTGGAATTATTGATTCCTCCGAGTTTTCACATCTTACAAAACATCTTTAGATTCTGAAGCAATACGACCTCGAGGCCGTTGCTGTGTCCTCGTCCTCACGTCTTTTAGTCCTTCGTCTGTGGATGGACACAGAGTCTGGACCAGACTTTCACCACCTGACCTCCACGTGCACGGACTGAAATAAACACATCCTTCTCCTTTTAATACTTTTCATGAGAAATTTGTCTCAGAAATGTGCTCATGAAAACATTTACGGTGCCAAATAACTTCAAGTAATAGTGTGTGTGTGTGTGTGTGTGTGTGTGTGTGTGTGTGTGTAAATAAACTGGTGGAACTTTTAGAAGGATGTTTCCATGTTCAGATAAAGTTCAAGTTTGCAAAGCTGCGGCTTAAACTGCCACGTTTGTGTCTGATGTTGTAGATCTGAGCTCGGTCTCTCGGCACAGATGTAGTGTCTGAATTGTAAAAGACGTCGGATTCACGCTTGAGAACAATATTTGACTCTGTGCGTGTCTGTGTCTCTTCTCTCCGCCAACACGAGCTTCTTTCTGCCTTCTTTCCGCCGCCAGCGAGTGCCTTCGAGAGTCGAGCTGAAAGTAGATTCGCGAGGAAAAGCCAAAAAGAGTCAGGAAGCACATAGAGTAGGTTTACTGCATGTGCGTGGTTCTGAACTGGACCACGTCGGACAACAGTCTGTGTATGTGTGTATCTGTGTATTTTAGAGGGACACGTTTGGAACTGGGAACAGTTCCGGCGGTCGCACCATCTCTATGATTAACCATGTTGTTGTGGAATGTAGTTCCCAAAACTCGGGCTGATTCTAAAATCCAAATAAACTGGATTTGTGTTGAAACTTGTGAGGAACCATGTGTGCGTTTCACTGCAGCATCAGACACGCATGACAGACACGCAGGTAAGAGGCGAGTTCAAGCGTAGCCCTGTTCTTAATGAGGCTTCACATCATTAAATCAACCTACGGCCGTTTAACATTGGTCATCTGACTTTTCTTTTCTACGTTATCCAATTAAATGAGCAAAGTACACGGAATTATTTCTTAGTATTTGTAGGAAATTAAAAAGTACACAATGCATCACAGTCTAAATACTAATGTGTTTTATGTATGACTTGTTACAACCTGATATTCCAGCGACATCTAGTGGAGGTTTGGAGACACGAGCAACTGAATATCTGCACAAACATCTGCACAAACATCTGCACAACTCATTCACACAGTCACATTAAAATCAGACTGTTTGTGTTGATGCTGGGAAAACAACAGACGGACGACAGTGAACTATCTAACTCTGTCTGTTTGATAAAGAGCAGCGTGAAGCAGGTGTGAAGGAGATGTTCAAAGTCCCGGAGGAATCACAGCAGACAAGTGTGTTTAACTAACTGAACACCTCAGGCGGCCGGAGGCAAGGACACGCTCAGCCTCCTGTTTGGGATTCATGTGAGGATTTCACTTCTTCCTTTCCTGCTGCTTGGAGCTGGAAGCAGAGGTAGAGTTCATTCTTCAGGAGAAAGTCCAACTTACACCGACTCCAACTGTTTATTTCAGCTGTTCCTGCAGAACCTGACGCACAGACGTGGGAAGATGTGCTCCCAGTGTCTCCGGGTACTTTTTGGTGAGTTACAGAGCTCCAGCAGGAACTGGAACCACTTGTTCACTTTTTATTGTTCATTTTCATTTGTATTCATCGTTTTGCTTATTTATGAGCAGCCGGAGGATTATTCTACATTAAATAATCTCCATTAGTCTCTTTCACCTGAATCTGACACACTGGAGCTGTAAGTGTTGGAGAACAGTGAGAAATGTGGATCCAGTTAATTCAAAAAAACCTAAAAGAATAAAAAACTGGCTCGTGATAAGACAAGTTAAACTTTATTCAGTTCACAGAAATTATACATCTCACTAGATTTATCTTTTTATTTAAAGAGCTCATAGAAAAGCGTCTGTTAAAATAAACTTCCAAGCATCTTAAATACACAAATAAATATTAAGGATGTTATCAACACTTTTTATAATGGAGCCATATTTTTCCTTATATTTTTAAGTTTCCTGGAAAGAACGCCGTAAATTTAACTGGTGCCGTGATAATTAACAGCTGGTATGAAAGTCAGTGCACAGCCAGGAGAGCAAACTAATCCCATAGAGTCAGTTTCTCATTCTAAAGTAATTAATCTGTGAAGAATTCAAATAGGGAAAATAATAAATGTCTTTCCAGGAAACTTTCGATGAGGAGATGACATTTATTTCACTGGTGCATCATTTTAAAATAATTTGCTAATTATTTACAATTAAGTTCCCCGGAAAGAACTATGTAATTTGAATTAT